AAATACGTTATACGCCTATGCATTTAAAATCATACCAAACCGCCGAGAATGAAAAATACCATAAACAGCCTGCCAAGAGTTGTTTTACAACATATGTCGCCATATCCTACAGTACCCATTGTTACAACAAGTAAATATACACATTCCCAATACGTTATTCGCTGAGGGTTTTGGAAATTCAGAAATGGATCACCACTGTTTTCTAACTAAATAAAAAAAATATTGTAAGTATAATGCCTACATGATATACAATGGTACAAATAAGTCTTAAAAATCACAAAGTAAAACATGAACGAAGTAATACCAAGTATAAACGAATACAACGAGTATATGAATAATAACGAGTATAAACATATTCGTGCGGCTATGAAATTACTGCAAACTTAGAATCTGCTGACTAGCAAGGAACTGAAAGGTCGTCCTTTGCCTTCTGATGAGATGCTGTGTTTATTCTTCATTGGTGCAACAAAGGTATCATGCCATTTACTTTATGGATAAGTGATTTGTTAGGATTTCACTTTTTTAACATTTGCAAACTTTTCCTGCAGCTATACTGCATGATCCCATAGGCAACTGTTGCATGGTACCTACAAAAAAGTGGCTGAATTTCAACGGTGTTTTTCTCTAGTGGCCTAAGGCGAATAGAAAAGGTAATGAGGGCGATCAACGTCAACGGCACATAAAGAAGGTACGCAGCTATGTTGCTGCTGGCCCTTTAATTTTAATGATGGGTGCTATTTGCGACATCCTACTTTCACGCAGTTTACATTGCGATTACGTCAGCATATTCTCTAACTAATCAAGGTGGTCACTACAGCTGGTAACCATTTCGATTCCATGAGAGACGCCCTTTTAAACAGTTAGAGATACCGCTTTCGATATGATCGCCACGAGTACCTAATGTTAATGGTAAGAGCAACAGCTTGTTGACCATAGTAGCTGCTTCTTGAGATGACGTGACAGTCATTCGCCTACATGAGCGTGATATTATGACAGTACACAATAATCACATATATTCGTATAGTGAACACAGCTCGTATAGTGAATCTGATAATCCACTCATGCGGACTGATCAGCAAGGCCATATAATCAGAACAATAGACTGGCACCAAGAACCATTAGTTTTCGACATTTCGTAAATTTCCATGTGTAGCACGCTTTCTACTGGAACGTATGGTCTCCGGTACTGATCTTCGTAATAACACAATAAACCATGAATATCATCCATCCTAAGGCAATACTGCACCTACGGGAGCCACCACGGAGCAGAGTCTCCCATTTCCTCCTACGGAGGTAAATTATGTATCTTATGACGCTGGAAGGCGACTGATCCGGCCAGAAATCAAACCTAAGATCTTTCTTCCTTTGAAAGCGAACTATGTACCGACTGAATTATTTTAATTTTAGATTCAGTGATTGGTTCGCGAGTTAATGGTTCACACTGAAAACAGCACAAAACAGTTTATTTCTACGCAACGCGAACAAAACTCGCCAACCAGATGATTAACCAACACCCCGGTTTAAGGCCATGTCTCAGGGGACTTCTTCAAGGTAGAATGCGCGAGCCGCACGAAGCGCTGCGATCGACAAAACTGATTTCTGAATCAAACTTACTTCTCTCTACTTTGAAGAAAACCCGTTAGAGACCGATCGAAATGTCGGTACCGGTCACTGATTCGATTTAGCACTTAATTTGTGTTGTTTATAAAAAACTGCTCCGTGTTATTTTCAGTATTATAACTTTAAGGCTTTCGTCGAAAGACTCAGACCAAAACCCTGAAACAACTAAAAATGACATTTAACAGTTGTACGCCAATTGCTGCGAGTACCTGAGCACTCGATGTGAAATTAATATCGTTCACATGTTAATGAAGGTATGCAAATCATGGCTACTCAAGTTTTCTTTTAGTTATCGACTCCTCAGCAACAGCTATTGAATAACAGTTTCGAATGGTCGGTCGACTTTTCCTCAAGCACACAGGCACTGACGGAAGCCATAAATCACACAGATTATAACAAGGGTCTATTTGCAGCATCGATTTTTCTGGCAACGAAATAGTTTGTCATTAATCACGTACTTAACACATTAGGTCTGAAAACATGGTTGACAAAACGAACAACATCGATTTTAAACGGACGGTGAAAACTGTTCAGTGAATAAGTCTTGTAGAAATTAATGATCTTACCAGGTGAATGAACCCAGCTCCTGTAAGCGACACGGACACAAAGATGCTCACCAGCTGAGCAAGTCGAATTGAGTTACTGGTCTTCAGGATGTTCAGGTATTGCAGAATGTCGGGCAACGTCATCAGACGAAGCGCGCGTAAGAACCTCAGTCCTGAAACGAGCAGCGATCGTAAGCAAATGCGGATAACAAGCAACAACAGCTTATTTTTGAGAATTGTTCAGAGAGGTTCTTTTTTCTGTGTATATATGCGTACCTCAAAACGTGGTTCATTAGGCTGAAATATGCTAATTACTATTTAACCCTTCTCATCACCGGATATCACATGTACTGCGTCTATGCCTCGAGACACTTAGAAGCCATCGCAAGCAGGTTACGACTATGCAAGAAACATACGATCGGTTCGAGCTTGTCGTACTGCTCTTTACGTCGACAAATGAGTAAGACGGCGTGACATAAGCTATGATATTCTGATTGATGAGAGCTGCCATATTCAGTCTACGTTTTGTTCATTACATAACTTTCTGTTGCGTATCAGAAGTAAAGTGTTTCTCACAGCGAAAGCTTTTTCGAGCTTTCACGCAAAATGCCGTTGTTTGGCTAAAGCGGAACGGACTGTTTAAAGAACCCCTTTGTGATGCCACGTGTGCAGGATCGACATCAGTTATTCATCCGGTTTCGAATTTCTCAGCAATGTAAAGGTGAATCTACTGCCGAATAAAAATGAAACTACGGTTAACGAATATGAGTTCAAATACAGCTGCAAGTAAAATTATGTTTACTGTGTATAAGAACTGCGAGACGGAAACCGAAACATCGGCTGATGGAGCGTCATCTTGGTAATCATTAATTTGTGGAAAAACTCATGTACGCCTGAAGAGGTACAAAACTGGGTGTATTTCTGGGGCAGCTCTTCTGCACAACCGACTCTGTGAAATCAACATTAGAGTAAAAATCGCATGGAGAACTTGTGGAAAATTGAAAATGTTACTATCCGGGCAATTGCCCTTGTGTCTGATAATTTTCGATCAGTGCATGCTCCTACTGCTAACCAACGGATGTTAAAACTGGATCCCAAGTTTGAAAGCAATTCATAAACTGCAGATCACGCAAAGCACCATGGAAAGGTGCATGGGCATACTGACAATAGCATAAAAAGACAGAACGACCAATGAAGTGTCTGCGATGTCATACGATAAGTTAAGAAGTTGAAGTGACAACAGATAGGGCACGCCGAGAAAGTCGTAAATATAACAACCAACCATTATTAGATTAGAAAAATATGGACTCGCTTCCAAGGGATAGCAAAGGGCGCACAGAAAGACCTCAAAATCTGTTGAATCACGATGGGAAAGAATCGCAGAAAACAGAAGTTTATGAGAAAGTCTTGGAGAGTCTTTCTTCCAACAGTAAATCGAAAAAGGCGGATGATGTTCTTCTGTCTAATAGACCGCATAATTAGATCGATTTTGCAGTCAAACTTCCATGTGAAATGATCTCTAAAATCATACACACACGACACTGGAAGGACATGCACCAAAGGGGTCAGAGTGTACATACATCATCGAAAAAATACTAATAGAAATGGAACAGTATTCAGTGAACTAGCTTTAACATCAAACAAAAATACAAACTTTGCGGGGACTGGACGACGACATGACATGTTGCCAACAAACTACTTAACCAGCAACATGGACCAAAATCTTCGAAACGAACTAGTGGCTGCATGCGATCACACCAAGCGAACCCCATCACAGCAGGCTCACTATATACAGGCGAAATTCGGTATTGGCCTTTCATCCCACAGGCATTATAGCGTAGCCAAGACATATCCATTAGAATATATTGCAAAGTGTAAGTATATGAGTAAGTGAAAAGGCAAATATGCGAGTAAGATAACATATTAGGCAATTAAGTAAATAAAGAAAAATCTCAGCAGAATGTGAGCAGGCATGTGACATACATGTAAGTGAGCGAGTAGATAAATGGGCGAACAAGTAAAATAAGAACTATTGTTTGAACTAAGTCACAGACATATTTTTAAGCCACGAAATATTTGCGAGCTGAGCTTATCTACTATCAACTTTGACACTCTTTCGCAAGAGGAAAAACTGCTAAACCAAATGTTATTTTATTGCAGTAATGTTGGTCAGCAATTTTTAAAAGAAAACAGCTATTTGCTTACCAAGCCAGCTTCGCTCCAGGTATATCGATACAAAAGAAGGAGGAATGGTGAAATAGTCGATAAAACTGTACACTTCAAGAAGAAACCACACCTTGTCTGTCGCGGCGATAAACTAAACAAATTTAAGTTTTATTAAATAATGTTTACATCGATAAAGGGTGAATACGGAAAATCAGACAGCCAAAAAATAACCGTAAACGTTAATGTGCAAAATAAGAGTAAGAATTTCGTGATTTTTGTATTTGATCCATTCCATTCAAGTCACAATGACAGATTTGCAAGTATGTTCAGTACAAGTAAAAATGTTACCCATCACGATCTGATAAAAAATTTACATCAGGATTGCGGTAATCGTTTTCTTCACAGTTTCGGTGTCAGTACGAGAAAACACTGGGACCGACGCTGCAGTGTCAGTGCCAAAGATGATTATAACAGAACAGAAACCCAATTTCGCGCCTTCTTTTCACGTCAGATAGCCGACAATACAACCCACGGCACATTCGAGATGACATCTCTTTGAGCAAAACAATCAAAGGCAAGTGGTGCTCAATCAGTGACAAAAAAATCAAAACCGCAACCATGTATCATGCTTATTTTCACAGTTACAGTTTTTTTTATGTAATCTATCTTGCAGAACAAAGACATCACTACAAACTGTCAGGTAAGCGCTTACCCGGATGAAGAAATATACAAGGAAGAATATGTTGAAAGCCAGGTCGATTTGTTGCGAAGGACTCTGTGACCATGGAATACAGGTTTCGACTTGAAACAGTGGGCTAAATCAAAAATAAGGTAAGAAGATCTGTACTCTAAAACTTCATAACAAATCAAAAATGATAAATAAAGTTTAAAACAAAATATTTAATATGCGATATCTTGCAGTCGCTTGCTTCTCAGCTATTGAAACAAGGCGCCCGTCCTCGGATTATGGATATCTGATGCGTCTATAAAGTAGAATCATGAGGACGACGCAGTTCAGTCTCGTTCTTTCAAGGAATTTAAATAAAAATCAATACTATTCAAAGCAGATAAAAGTGTAAAGTGCTGCCTATCTCTTTGTTAAGTTACGTTTTCCTGCCTACGTGCTTGATTGAATTAGACAAATTATACTAATTCGTTGTTTAGGGCATCCAAACACAGAGCAGAGAAACGCCCATAATGTCAGCATAACAAATGAACAAAAATTGAATCAGCGCAAAATGTGCCGTTAGCGGAGTTAAACAAGAATCAAAGACAAAGGATTATAATGTACAGATTTATTCTACATTTTGACACTAATGTCATAGTAGATCATATCTTCTTTGAACCTCGTTTTTCGCCTACCAAGCAGAAAATAGATTTTAGACCATTAGTTAATCAGTCAGAAACAGAAACAGAAGGTTAAAACAGAAGAGTTAGCTAAGCTACCTGCAGGATAGAAGAGATAAGGCAAGCAATTTTCTGATCGATAATTGCATTTTCAGTCAATCGGCCATTTTTGATGACCACTTAGTTTTTGCGGCTACAGAGGCAGAAGAATTAGACAGTGTCTCAAACGTTTCCGATCCCGCACCAGCATTCGAGGTTCGCAGGAAAATAACCTGAGTGCGGACCAAAGACTCTCGACGCAAGCGGTCCAGGATTTCTTGGTCGTAATCAGTGTTCAGTCGATCGCATGGTCTAATAGTTGTCATGCCATCTTTCTGGAAGGATTCTAAGAACGTTCCCAAACCATAATTGTCGTGAATTCTCAATTGACTACGAGAACTTATCCACTTCTTTCATTACTTCTCATATGTTTCTAGGCAGGCCTGTACCTTGTAGCGCGAGATTCGATCAAAAACTTTCTCCAGGTCAACAAAGCACCTGCAAACCGGACGAATGAACGGATGCCCACGATTTTTCAACAATCTGACATAAGGCGAATATCTAATCAGATCTACTGGATGACTTTCTTTGATGCAATACAGTAGTTCGGCGTAAGAGTCTGATTTAATCAGGTTCCATTCCTTTTGTATTATCAAACGGAACATTAGGAAAAAAGGTTTGTCAAAATGTGAAGATAAGATGCAGCAATGTTAGGGTACAGATTGTTCAGAAATATACAGCACAAAATCTCCAACGTGCCAATCAGCATCCACTGTTGAACCGTCAAGAACCGACCTCAGGAACGCTCGCCAGATGCTTGCCTTATGCTTCCTTAATTGCACTGTCAAACCCCTACGACGACTGTTCAACACCGGTGCTGTTACAGCCGACCTGTGCCATTCATCAACATTATCTCCACAGTACTCTCGTAGTTCACCGAACATTTGTGAGCAACACATTCTGGCACGCAGTACGGCAATGGCTAATCAGAAGGACACAACTTTACTTTCTAGTTTGTATTTGCTGAGATCATCATTTCCAGTCGACTGTATGTGGTCTGTGATATTATACTGACAGATTTTGAAATCTTAGGTTCAAAGAACCTAGTTACTGCGTCGTAAAAAAAACACTTGATCTCTGAAAGCAGATCCGCCTCGAAATTTTTGTTCTGTATTGTGCGTTGAGTTTTTGATCATCGTCCGCCGCATTTTAGCTCCCGCATTACACAGACATGACCAACCTATATTTCTTAATTTCCAATTCAACTGAAATCGCTTTTGCCCGGAACAAGATTCAATTATCTTTATGTAGTTGTGACAGCTAACCGTCATTATAGGTCGACGCCAAAGCTGCTACAGGCAGTTCAGCCGTCATTCTTGCTCCTTCTAAGGAAAAACTGTTTCTAAGTGGTAAAACAGCACCTACCGAACAGGAGCACGGTACAGGATAGTTTCTGCCCAAAATATTTTAAAACCACTCGAGCAAGGGAGATCCTCCTATTTCGTTTTTGCTTGACCATCATGTCGTTGCTGGCGATAATGGAGCCGAGACATTAAAAGTGGTCAACCTCCTGAAGCGCTTCACATCCATATTCAATTTGCAGATCAGCTGTGCGGGATGAGTTCCTCATGGCATTACTAGCTATGTTCCTTCTACATTAACAAGTGGCGACTCATTTGTAAAATTAATTAAAAAATTTGTGACTATCGGTTCAAATGGCCTTAGACTAGTACCGCTGGAAAGCATTATAAGATCACTTATAAATTCTTGTTTACACAAATACTAATTATCACACATTAAGATCATGTTAACCTATCTTGCCAGCAGAGCCGGGTTGAAGATCAAACGTTTTTATAGTTAGTAAATGGGCGGGCCTAAATTTCGCTTAAAGTGAATGAATAATTTAATAAACTTGACTATGTTAAATCATCTAGATAAAGCAAGATCAAAATTTCGTGAGAAACAAAAAACTGCATAAAATTTCTTCACTTACTGCGAAGCATCATAGAAGTAGATGATGAGCGAGCCGATACTGAGAACGAACACCAGCACAACCTGAAACATTAAATTCGAAATTAATTTATTTACTAATTTAAGACTAATTCATTCAACTTAAAAATAAGAATAGTAACTATCACAATATTTTATAACATTATCTTTTCCGCAAAAGATACAATTTTCACCTTCTATCTCAGATAGAGAGAAACACTGATTTTTAACATGCATCTTTTTCCATCCCTCGTCATTACCTTGTTAAGGTAAGATTCAATGCTATCTGTACGAAAGGCAT